CAAAATCGAAAAATAATTTTCGATATAGTAATTCGATTAAGAATTTTGCTTTATCGTTGTATATTTTGGGTGGTAAATTGACCTATGAATTTCTTAGATTAAATTTACCTGGATCTTTACCGCATCTATCTTTATTGAATTCATCGATTTCAAGTTCAGATTCAAGAATCAGTGAAGGAGAGTTTAAATTCGATCAACTTCAAAAACATTTTGATAGTCTTAATGTGCACTATGCATTCGGCTCTGAAGATTGTACTGGTATAGTTAAAAGAATTAAATATGATTCAACAACAAATACATTTACTGGATTTCCTTCATTACTTGATCGTGGAGTGCCAATTAAATCATACTATCAGACTGACTCATTCGATGCATGAAAATCATGGTTCAATTCAATTGATAAAGCATCGTTATTGAATATACATATGATTCAGCCAGTGCAATCCACAGATAATAGCAGCATACCAAGTCCTTATCTATTATCAGCATATGGAACTGACAATACTGCAACAGCGAACGATATATTACAGAGATGGTGGTATATATTTAATCAATCCTTACAAAGAAATATCAGAATCATTGGTTTTTCTACTGGTGAGACAATTGTTTTTCAAATTTTATTAAAGAACAATTGCGTTTTTTATAGACACGGATCCAAAATATCTACGTGCGATGCGTTTAATGAGCGGTTTTCTTGGAGCTCATCCGCATTTTCAAGTTCACCAACACCCACAAACATTTCAAATAAAAATAAGATCACATTGGTCTTGGTTTTATCTTTGTGAACAACAGTTATTATTATTTTTTCAAGATTCGACACATTTGGTAACCAAATGGCGTAATCGTTTATTATCAACAACAGCAGAATTATGTCTCGGAAATCAGTCAATATCGATCAATCATTTGCATGATATTATTGAAAACGATACTTATTCTAAACTTGATGATGGTCTAACAAAATCTGACATTAACCCTAAAGATCGTCAAAACTTTAGTTCTTGTTTGAAATTAACATCTAATGATCTAATGATCTATTCAACATTTTAAATGCAACTGCTGATACTCGTGGAACCTTGCTTTATTTTCAAGTGTTGAAAATGATTATAGTAGCCTATATTGAAAAAACAACAACAACAACAACAATAGTTGAAAGTGAGTACTTATACACGCTAGATCACATATAATAAGATTTTATTGTAGGACTACGATCTGCTTGGTGTGTAGTGTTTTTTTGTCGACTAGGGTTTACCTGGATTAAATTTAAAACCTTTAATTTAACACAAACCAGAAAAAATAATAAAAGCAGATATTTTATTACACAACCAGCATATTTATCGATTGAAATAAATGCTCATAATTTATTATATTTTATTTTACTTGTCAAACAAAAGCAGTTACCACAACAAATATTGAATATTACTATGTTTAACCCGCAAGCTCGTGAATCAATTTGTAGAAATACGCGAGCACTAAGCGGAATTTATTCAACCATAGTCAACTTTACAGTATATGATTTTCTACGACGTGCCCAAATATTATCATTATTGAATGACATTAAATGTAAACAGTTACATAATGGTTCAGTTGACAAGTTAGTCTTTCCGGTTCATTATAAACATCGGATTGAACGTCAATCATCATTTACACACAGTCAAATTGAAATTGATGAAATAGATATGGAACAAGTTATTACTGATGCCTATCATCATGTTGTTGATATTCTTGAAGGTCTAGATATATTGAACTTATTGGGGAAAAAAAACATGTTCTTGAATTAAAACCATTAAGTGAATATTTATTTCAACAATTAAATTCAAATTCATAAAAACATAATTACTCTTCTCAAATAAGCAATATAGACGATCAAGTATTTGAAAGTGACGATGACAATGATGAAGACGGAGAGGACACAACAAATGATCTCAGCATGAATGAGGACAATGATGATAGCTCTATTAACAATGATTACACTAATGAAGATGAACAAAATAACACTCAAGATTTAATAAATACTACAACGAAAGACTTCTCTGGAGTAAAAGTTGCTGATAAAGTGGAGCCTCATATTGAACATACCTATTTTAAAGCGAAATAAAATCATGATACAAAATTTTTACACAAACAAACTGCTTGTTGGTTGTTAACAGAAGAGAAAAGTAAACTTTCAAATGACCGATTACTTCGCGTGCAACAGGTCAATAAATGATAATATAAATCTTTTTTCTTTTTTCTTTTTTCTTTTTTTTTAGTTTTTGTTTGATTTTTTTTCAATAAAGGGTATACTTTGTTGAATTAAAATTTTTTTTATTCATTGAATGTGTTGTATATGGGTGGTGGACAGATACTGCGCGAACATTTCAAAAGTGGAGTCAGTTAGGGGTGACCCTTTATCTTTATTTTCCTTTATACTAAAGGATAAAAATAAATGAATCCGTTATCTTTAGAAAATAAACGTAAATGATTGAAAAAGCATCTATAATTTAGGTTTTTAAGGATAGATGGATCATTTACGTTTAGAAGACAATAGAAAATGATTGAAAAAAAATTTATCATTTATTTTTTAAAGATAAAGAAATCATTTATCTTTAGAAAATAAAAGAAAACTAAAGGAATAAATGATTTTTATTTTCAAGCGATAATCGAGTCAAAAGTATTCTAGAATTGTAGAACTCGTGTTTTGGGAATATTCTTATCATTGGACTGATATCTTTTGAGTGAAAATAGAAACCTCTGAAGTGAAATCAACTGCTGTTGCTTTACTAGTATTTAGGGGACTTTAGTTAGAAAAATATGGATTAAATTAAAACTAATACCATATTCTGAATCATCATTAAAAACAGAACAAACCTATGTGACTTTCGAATATATTTTAGATAGTTAGGATTTTTGGTCGAGAAACCCTGAGAGGGAGGGACTAGGGGTGAATTTTTGTAGAAATCCTAACTATCGA